CAAGATCGATCCACGGATGCCACACACTCCGCTCACAGTACAGTAGACATCGGGCAGGCAGAAAGACATAGCCACGGCTGCACTGTTCAGCACCGTTATGAACGAGCAACAACAACCAAGTGGCAAAAAGCTCCAAGAAGCCACGCCCATGATATCTGTCTTGGCCCCCTATCGAATTGATCACGATGCCGGGATCTGCCTGCCAAAAATGAAGGTCGCTAGCAAGAAAGGACTTTTCACGAAGGGCTTCATCCTGGCACACCAGGTGAGCCGTGCAGCCGCGGAAGGTGTAGTTCTAGCACTGGCTGGACTGCAGATCAATCCTTTGATCTTGATAGGATCCCCATTGACCCAAGCAGGGGCTAATAATATCAAAGCCCAAGTTGCTGCCTCAAGTGTGGCGTTCCTGTGTCCGAGGGAAGTCGTGGATGGCGAAACTATGTTAATAGCCGCCAGTGCCAATGCCATTGTCAACTTCATGGTAGTTTATGCACGTAACACTTGCAGCATGGATGATTTGCTGGAAGGATATTGTGACGCCGTGGCCACAGTTGGGGCAACCTGGGACTACACCCCTGATGCTCCAGTAGCCGTCGCTCGTCTGCCATACATTGAGCAGGCCGACCCGCTACCTTTCGACCAGGTGATCCATGTCCCTGAAGATGATGAACGGTTCCGCCGTGAGCGTGACCCTTGACGGCCGCCGCTACCGCCTCAGTGAGGTTGGCGGGCTGCTGCAGACGGACGGTGCGGCCCACCACCATGTCGTCGGACAGGGAGCGCCGCCGAGGTGCCTCAGACGCCCGCGCGCCTGGGGACGGCGTCGAGGAGCTCCTCAACCGCTGGACGCGCGCAGCCGCGACACTCCAGCTGCACGACAGTGAGGTCCTGCGCCAGATGAGTGACCTCTGCGTCCTGCAACAGCAGCAGCAGCAGCAGCAGCAGCAGCAACGCCCCGGGCGGTATGTAGAGTGTTCCAGTCGGCTGCTACCGCCAACGGCTGGTCTGTCGACGAGCAAGGGCGTCGCCTCCTCAACGCCCTGGAAGGACCGGCCGCCGACCTGGTGGAGACCCTGCCGCCGGCGGACTTCACCAACTTTGCCCGCCTGAGCGAGTGCCTGCGCGACCATTTCGGCTCGGCCCATGGCGCTGCTGTGGCTGAGGCAGAGCTGGACCGTCGCGTGCAGCGTGCCGACGAGACCCTGCGCGACTTCGGCGTGGACGTGCTGCGCCTGGCCCGCGCGGCCTACCCCACCTGGCAAGACGCCCCCATCCAGACCATGGCGAGGAAGACCTTCGTGGACGGCATCCGGGACGCTGATGTGCGCCGCACCGTCCGTCTGCAGCAGCCCGCCAACCTCACTGAGGCGGTAGCGGCGGCCGTCAACGCGGAGGCTGTGCACCAGCTGGAGCCGCCCACCAAACAGGTATGTGTCGCCAGAGTCACCCCAGCAGACCACGTCGAGGACAGTGATGCCAGAGATGACGGCTCCCACGCCGCTGCCCGTCGCGCCTCTCCTGGTGGAGATGCCCCTGAGCAGCGCGCCGAGATGCTGCAGAACTTGGGCTCTGGGAGCAGCGGCCGGAGCTTGCGCGAGTAGCATTGAGGGGCTGAGGTGGCACGGGTGAGTCCCTGACTAACGAGACGGCATCTGTGCGAACCGGGGCAGTTTTCGGTGACCCGTCGGAGGGGGACTTGATCAACCTTTCTCCGCGCGGGGCCCGACTAGGCCGCGTGCCCGTCAGCCAACCGTCCTCCCCTACAGAACTTTGCCGCCGATGCCCGTGTGTGGACCCTGGGCCACCGTGGGATATGTCCGCGTGAGGACCCCGGGCCAACGTGGGTCCATCGGGGGAACCTGCGTGAGGACCCGTGGGCACCGAGGGACACCACGTGAGGACCCGTGGGCTGCAGGGGACCCCGCGTGAGGACCCGTGGGCACCGTGGGACCTCACGTGTGGACCCGTGGGCACCGTCATGTAGCGGGCACAAGGTGCACCGCCCAGTGTGTTTAAGTGTCAGCAGGTCCAGCAGCTACATCCTCATCTGTGTGCAGCCAGATCTTGATCCTCCACGTCAGCTCCACAACCCCACCCGCGATTTGGTCCACCCGACTCCAGCTCCCCTACCTACTCCAGAAGGACGACCAGCTCGCCGTCAAACACATCATTTCTGCCGTTCCACGTGTCCCGGACTTCACTCCATGATGTTTTTTTCGTAGCGAGCTTGTTTCTGGGTTTAATCACTCTAAATAGGTGAAACTTTGTTTTGTTTCCGTCTCGGCGGCACCCCGATCCACCACGGCTTTCGATAAAGAACACATTTTATCGACATTCCAAGGACGAAATTTAAAAATAAAGGTATCAAAAGAAAGTTCGAAATCTCCCCTTTCCAACGCTACCAAGTTTTGTGTCGATCAAAAGTCGGGAAGTACGTTTAAATGTGTTTCTTAAACACGACGACGTTCGGCCGGGCGGCGGCCCGTCGAGTGCTGCCGGGGACGCGCATGGTAGGCGGCCCAGCCCGCTTGATTCTACCCCCTGGTTCAGGAGTGAAACGCCTTGTGTAGTTTAGTCGACAGGTTGTGTGGAATTTAGCTTGGTTTTTAACCAGTGTGGCTCTCACTCCAGAACCGTCATCGAGATGTTCAGGTTTTCTCCCAGAAGGAAGTAAGTGGTTGGTTCCTTTCAAGCTTTCAAAATTAACAGACACTGCATCGTACCCTGTATTTCTCATGGATGCGTTTGGATTTTTTGCAGGGCACCTTAGTTCACCACCACCAGGCTTCTGACACACGCAGCATATGTCCCAGTTAATAACACCGTCCACCAACTGCAGAGGGATAGGTGCTGCAAGTGCCACCTTCTTTTTGTTACTCATGGCACAAATCTGTCGAGAGATGTGCAGAGGTAAGAAGTAAGAAGAAAGAAGAATTTATCGACGCCACCATGTTGATCCGAGAGCCCAAAATTAAGAGATACCATGCGACGGTTAAGTAAAGAAGTAAAATGGAATCACGAGAAACGGAACCAACACCGGAACCTGTACCGAAATCTCTGCTAAAACGCATGCTAATAGGGTATTCCGGGGATCGGCTAGACCGGAAGGAGAAGAAGAATATCTTCGGGCGTCCTGCTCGGGGACGAGCAGGACTGAGTCCGTGCCTACGATTGTTGTTCTTCTCCTTCTGGTCTAGCCGAGCCCCGGAGTACCCAGTCTGATTTGATCGGCCGAGCGATAGCGAAGCCTGTTACGCGAGACGTGGTCTGGCCTACATCTACCTTGTAACTAAGAAAGAGAGGTTCCCGACAATAACGTAACTCTACTCAGCAAAACGTCTCAAACTGCGTCATATAACGAATCAACGACTATCTATTATAATATACATTTTCAGAATAAATATAACAAAACGACAAAAAAGAATAGACACATCAATAAACAACGGGACATTACGAAAACCGGATAAAAGAGCGTACAAAATAAACGAACACACAGTCATCCGCCAATAAAAATCGCACAGTAACGTATAAGACTGTAGTATCCGACGCACGGAGAGAGTAACAATACAAACTTTTGAGGTTATACAACACCGCAAGGAACACGAAAACATCTCCCTTACGTCAATTCCAAGTACTTGCCCTTATGATGATACCACGAGAGTGAAACACGCAGCGACAGGTAGAGAGCAGGTCAACACATTGTGCGTCGCACTACGACAAACACAAACTTCTTCTCTGTTTTGTTGCTGCACAGGTCTCAACACGACGAGGACCCAGGTCGGCGGCTCGGACTAGCGCAGCCAGGCACGGCGCGGCGAGTCGGCCGGCGCGTGAGGCGGGGGGCCCCCGCCCCGCCCGGCCCGCCGGCTTGGCCCGTTTTACGTAGGGGAATAGCGCCACCAGGCTACCGGAACTTAAAGAAGAAAAGAATGACTGCTCGATCTTTTTCCTTTTGCACATTCATTGCCTGAACGACACACTGGTGTCATCGTCGACTAATCAACATTCAGGAGGTAACAGATCGGGCAGTCATGCTTTTCTTCTTAAGGTTCTGATTGTTTTGAAGCGGGGCATATCTTATTCCCGCCAAAGTGTCAATAGTATCGACTATTAATTATCAAAATGCAGCAGTTACGATTTATAATGCGAAGAAAATGTTTTTATTTAAATCCCTACACCCTCAGAAAGATCGTTGGTTGCGTATTTTGTGAAATTACTCAAATTTAGACCTTTTTCACACAAAATGTACGGACCATTCGAGTGTTAAAATGGACCCTTAGTGGTAATTCAGTCCATTTAACCTCATATTCGGCGTCAGGGACACTATAACATGCGGAAACGACACCCAACACGGGCCCCTGCAGTGAACGTTAATAATTTGTGATTTAGGCCCTATTTTTCCAATATGGTGGCGTCTGGGGCCTAAGTGAGAGGTCGCAGGTAGTTGGATGTTGTTTTATTCGTTTTCTCTCGCAAAAATAACCCGGAAAAATATCCCGGATGGCGTCTCGACGACGATTATGAATTTTTCGTCATTTCCGGTTAAATTTTGAACAATGTTAAAATGGACCCTTAATGGTAATTCAGAAGCGAATAAAGTTCAAAATCACTTCTAAAAGTCAGTCCGTGACGCGTGGACACGCCCGCCAGTCCCCCTCCCCGTGCCTCCGTGCCCCCACTCCTCGCTCGCAGTACCCACCCCGCACGCCCGGCGCCCACCGCGCCCGCGCGAGCGCGCGCTTGCTCGGGCGCGGAGCGCCCGTTCTTAACTGA